TTTTAAATATCATATGAGCTAAATTAATAATTATGGGGCTAAAATAAAAAAAAAAAAAAGAAGAAGATGAAATAAATAAAAAGAGAAGGACTAAAATGAAAGAAAAAAAGATTGGACGCAAAAAATGGCGTCGGACGCAAATTTGCGTCGAAATGGAGAGAGAGAAGGGTATAAACTCATTTTGAGATGAGTTTTTCAGTACGGTTGGAGCAAATTCTACTGCAAAATTTGGGTTTTGCAGTACCATTAGAGTAGGTCTAAGGGACAAATGAACCGTAACCTTGTACGTTTGCTATCCTCACTGCTTAATAAGCCGGACACAGTTACGCCTCAATCACACCACATTAACATCAAGTGTATAAAATCTCTCACTCATACGAATCAGAACATGATTATAATCTATGGGAAGCAACAAAAGTAAAATTTAACACACCTTCTCTACAGAGACGGACCAAGAAAGCACGAGGCCGAGGAACACGATGAAGAAAAAAGGACCCCATAGGTCCCAGTCTCTCTCAACGCCTTACCCGGATCCTCCCTGAATGGATTTTGGAACACGACCAGCTTCAAATTGCTGACGATCCTCGTCAAATCTAGCATGATGGTGTCCCATACGGGCTCCGTCAGGGTGTTGGGTGTCGGCCCGAACCTGGAAAAGGCAATGCCGCTCCCGCTGCTTGTGAATCCACGCCGAGGGGGAAAGGGGGTTTGGAGGGAGGGATATTGGAGGAGGCAAAGGAAGAAGGTGGCGGAGGGTTGGAGGAGATGGGGATGGAGGCGCGCGGAGGCGACGGAGGCCGGGCGGGGAGGACGGAAGAGGAGTAGGAGTTGATGAGGCTCTCGATTTCGTCAATGTCCGATTGAGAGGTCGGGTGGAGGGGGATCGTGTCGTTGTGCGACATACTGTTTGTGTCGCGTTTTCGAATGAGGACCAGAGAGGAAAGTTTGGGGACTGCTGTAAGACCATATTTATTCGAGACCCAATTCTTGGGTTAGGAAGATAGGGACAAACAAAGTTTGGACTTCCGTACTCTTGTGCCGATGGATCAAGTTGATTACTATTTGTTCAGATTTCAGTAGTCTGATTAGTATTTTCGTGCTTTAGCCCTCTTTGTAGACCTGTTAGTCCAAGTTCAGAGTTACCTTTTTTTTTGTCGAATGATAGAAGATCTCGTAAACAATAAACAAATAATTACAATCTTGAATCGACTATACAACCGAAGGCAGAGAGACATACATATGTCGAAGACGATAGTAGGCCGGATCAAATACACTAGACGCACCCACAAGAGAAAAACCAATAAAAATAAAATACTAATTCCCACAGGAAGAAAACCTAATTCCCATAAGTAGAGAATAACACTACCAAACGGTGGGGGAAAGAAAATAAACAAGCACAAATTGAAGCACAATCCCAACTAAAAAAAAACTAGAGAAGATAACAAAAGAGGGAGCCCTCCCCGCTAGCCGGAACTAAACACCAAGACCCCATCTGATGACCCAACACCTAAAAACACACCAACGAGGAGACCCCCAGGATTGATCTCAAAACTCCCACGACGGCTAACAAGACCAAACCAAGAGCAGACCAACCTCCTCCCCGAAAGAACATCCACGCCGTAGAGACCGGAGACCCACGACCAACCCCACCCTCCACACCGTCTGAAATCACTGGCCAGGCACAACCACAATCGCAGCCCGACACCACCACTGAAGCACCTGATCCCCCCAACACCAAGAACAATAATTAGATATATATGAGAGGAGATAGACCGCCGGTCTCTACTCCGTCCTACATCAGATGGCAAACAGAGCCGGCGACACCGCCAACCCTCCGACGGAAGCCACCACCGCAACCTGCCATGGCTACTTGGACTATGCGGAAACCCACGCAGTGCGAAGGGACCTTCATCGGCAGGAGCAGTGCCGCCCGGTCGAGTGCCAGCTGCCTCGAAAAGCGTCGGTGCCCGCTGAGGGCAGGCACGTCGAAAGAGAGAACATGAGATGCGATCGGGTTTGGGGAAAGAGGATATTAGGTTTTTCTTGAGAGAGAGAGAGAGAGAGAGATGATACTTTTTTCTTGTTGGTCCAGACTTTTCGTTTTTGTTGTTGTTTTTTTTTTTCATTTTTGTTTTTGTTTGTTGTTTGTCAGTTTGGACATGTGTAGGCATGTGATATTTTCAGCTCAAGTAGGGTCTTGATTATATACAGGTTGGTGATCTGGCCTAAATCCCTTACCTTTTTAGGGTGTTCCGTAGTTGGAAAAAAAGATAGGATAAAAAAATAAAGACAAACATACAACAAAGAAATAAAAAAAAAAGAAACTAAAGAATAAAAAAACAAAAGAAAAGATCATGAATGTTGGCGACCGAGGTCACATTGTGACATTGGGTCGCTTGGAATGGGACTGTTGTATCATTCTTATTGGATAAGTGTATTTTTGTGAGTTAAATAAGATAATAAAAATACTAAATTAATTTCTTTTTTTTTTTATTTTCTATTAATAGATACCACATTTGATAGATTTTAGAACACAATTGTAATTTCTAATTAAAGAAAAATATAATAAATATTTTAGGTTATGTTGTGTGGGATAAATATATGTTGAGTTGTAATATTAGATTGTGTATGTGGAGGAGGGAGAAATAATTTTTAATTACTAGGTAGGGTTGAGTTGGGTTGTTGATAGAGATGGTCTAACGGAGGTGATTCGAGGCGAGGTGGAGGACATAGAGAGAGACACTATACTTAGCTTTTATGTCGACGAGAAATGAAAATATTAATCGGACTAATATTAATAGTGGATTTTTGCATTTCTTACGTTTCTATTTTCTCGTTCTAAATAACGACTTCCCTTGAAAGGTTAGTGTAATAGCAAATTATACTTTTACCGAGTACGGGACGACTCCCGACCTCGGGTCAATCTCTCGAGAAAGGCATTTTGGAAACTAAAGTTAATGTTGATTGCACATTAAAGAAAATAAGGCCTAAACAGTCTAATTCAAGAAGGAGTTTTGAACTATCAACTAAGAACCATCCCTTTGGAGTCTGCTTCCATCCATTTGGAGCAGAACCATCAGCTGCCTCTTGCTGATGATGCGTTGTTGGAGGATCCTAAGAAGTATCGTTGTTTAGTAGGTCGTCTGATTTATTTGGAACTTACTAGGTTGGAGTTGTCATACTTTGTTCATATGCTAGCTCAGTTTATAAATCAGCCACGACAGACTCACTGAGATGCTGCCCTCCGTGTGGTTTGCTATTTGAAGGGTTCCCCTGGTCAGGGTATTGTTACGTTCGGATTGTGATCTTTAGTTCTATGGTTGATGTGACTCAAATTGGGCGACTTTTCCTCTCACTCGCCGCTCTCTTACGTGGTGATTTATTCAGTTGGGTTGGTCTCCTGTTTCTTGGCGTACTAAGAAACAGCATACGGTTGCACGCTCCTCTACTGAAGTCGAATACCGTGCTATGGCAACAAATCTTTGTGAGCTAAAGTGGTTGCGAAGTTTATTGTCTAGCCTGGGTGTATCTCATTCTCAGCCTATGCAGCTTTTCAGAGATAGCCAGTCTGCTCTACATACAATCGCGAATCCTGTCTTTCATGAGCACACCAAGCATATTGAGTTTGACTACCACTTTTTTTGAGATGCTTTTCACCAGGCTCTCATTTTTACCTGTCATGTTCCTACAAGCGCTCAGCTAGCAAATATCTTTACCAAGGCTCTTAGGAAACGTGAATTTAACTTTTTCTCTTGGCAAGTTGGGCCTTCGGAATCCGCATGCTCTAACTTGAAGGGGATGTTATTGTACATTATATCTTATTTATTTACTTTTTTAACCTTAGTTTCTCAGAGGGTAAGTTATACTTTGTAAGCCCTAATATTTTGTATATATATACACGACTAGGGCCCCTCTCTCGGCATCAGATCAGATGACCGATTTCTCTATTGTGTCATTTTCTTCTATTTTGTCACTGATGATACATGATCATTATATGATTTCTAACTTCAGTGTCAGAGTGTTTACATCAATTGTTAAAGACGAGACAAGAGAAATAGGGTGATGACCATCTGTGTTCTATGATGCCGTTGTAAAACTGAATATATATACATAGTTTTAATGTTACAGTTATCATAATAAGTATACCTAAGGCTAAAACAGTAAATACAAATAAGATACACAATAACATCGAGTTTCGCCCCTAATGTTGGTTTTGCGGTCTAGTCGTAGTTCAATGCGATCGAGACAAAGTGATTCAACTTGAAATATAGGTGAGCTGATATTTCGTGCACATCAGCTATCTAGATTATAACTAGTTATCATGCTCGTTCATATTACACGTTTTTTTCACTTGAATAAATTATTCACTTCCTTTACAATATGGTGATGCGCGTTACATATATTATACAATGCAAACAATTAATTTATTTTGTATATAACGTATATAACGTGCTGTCATCATATGGTAAAGATGGCAAATGCAATTGTGCAGCAGCAGCAGATCAAATATGTATTTTGAAAATAGTCGTCCTTTAACATTGGCTTTCGGAGGATGCAACACGCTTGTCCTCTACCCCAAGCTTCTTGCGAAGCATTTTTTTTTCCTTTGTTCCACACCCACGTAATTCACCAATAATTAAGTTCCTTAAAATTCGGTGTTCGTGTTTGTAAAGACAAATAATAATAATAATAATAACTCCTACTGGTTTGGGAGCTTGGCTGAACCATGATATTATCGGGGTGTCTCACCCGCGCCGTGTCCTGGCTTCTTCTACCTAGGTGCTTTGACGCTTAGCCCTCTTATTGTACCGAAAAAAAATAAATAAATAATAATAATAATAATAATGACTTTCAAAGATAGAATATGGTAAAGTCTCCCCTCTCTCTCTTACGAGTCCACAAACATAAACACACATATAAGTAACACGGCCCCATTCAACAACCTACACTACAAAATTTTTTTCTCTGTCACAGCGTTCACTATTTTTCCAATAATTAACATGGCGGACGAGAGGTGGGCCTTGCTGGACAAGCTGAAAATGGCCGTCAAGAAAATCAAGATTCTAATAAACTTCAACCTAAATAAATGGAAACTCGCGTCCATTGTGGGGGCAACGTCCTCTGGCAAGAGGAGGCTGAGCTTCAACGACCGGCCCGGATTGAGGGCATGCGTGGATGATGAGGGCCCGAACGATGGCTCGGGCTCGTCCGGCTGCCGGAGCCTGCAGAGGACCATGAGCTACCCGTCGTCATCGGAAGATGATATCGATAAGAGGGCCGAAGCTTTTATCGCAAACTTCTACAAGCAGCTTCAGTATGAGAGGCAAATATCATTGGAGCTGAGGTACTACAGAGGAGATAGTTTTGGTTCTTCAACTTCTTCTCAATGATGATATTATGTTATTTTACAATTATTATTACTATTATTATTACTGTTTTTCAATGGAAAATGTGGAGTGTTTTTTTGTTCAATTAATTCTTTTTAGATGATTTTTGCTCAATTAATAAGTATTTTTTAGTTTTTATTTTTTGGGTCATTTTCCTTGGAATGTTTTATTTTTCTTTTGTTAATTCTTTACCTGTTGGCGGATCGTGTACTATTGACCAAAATAAATAAACACATTGGATTTTGATTTGGATAATAAAGTCGTAATTTAAATTAATTTCTTTTGTATCCTTGACTATTTGCCATGTTACTTCAACTTATTTGTAGGCATAGTTGCTACATTGGGGATTAATTTAATAGTAGGTCATAGAACTTAGGCAAAATTGCGTGTATATAATAATGGAAATCATGTCACCCACAATATTGAAAATAAATATCATAACCTTATGCGAATTCATGTATTTAACTAGACATTTTCTACCTTAGGTGCTTGGCTCAACCACGATAATATGGGTGTCATATTCCTGTCATTTTCTATCTTAGGACTCTTGTTCTCCTTTATTGTACCGAAAAAAAAAATAGACAATTGAACATATTTAGAATGCATTTTCTCTTAACAAAATATTTGGCGATACGCCCATACCTATCATAAAAAGTTTGTCCATAACTACTTTATCTTTGATTAAACAGTAAAAAAAATAAAAAAAACTCTCCTCTCTCTAGCTCCCTGTCTCTCTAGAAACCTCCATCTCCCTTTCTAGAATTTTTGTCATGATCACCGTCTCCTTGCCCTAGGCGTCCGACCAGCCGCCATCGCCGGCTCGACCAAGCTGTTGATGCCTTTCTTTTTTCTGCCCCAGCAACCATGTCTCCCCATTTGACAGACACACCGTTTCCGGCAGTCCGTACTCCTCCTCTGGCCACCTCCTCGCCGGATTTGGACACGGTCCTCTTGCAGCCGGACATTAGAAAGGCTCTCTTTGCCTTCTTGAAAGATAATCTTCCAGTTCAATGCTTGAAAGAAGGAGAAATCCCGGTTTCAGCCCCTCCTTCAACATTGGTCTCCGACCACTCGACGGTCGTGGGCGTATCCAGTCTCAGCACAGTGCAGACAACGGTCTTACCAGTCTTAGCCGTCGACAAGGCCCCCCCGACGTCTCCCCCGCCAGTCATCACTCTCTTGGACTCTCGAGCGTCGGCCTCTTGTTTTCTAGAGCACTCAGGCGACGACCGTGAAACTCCTTCTGATCCTCTTGCCGGCCAGGGCGCCTATCTGGTGCTCTTGAGATCGTCGTCGGCCCATCTTGTGGATGTAGAAGGCCAGCTCCATCAGTCGACTCTCTTTGGTTCCTAGCCGCTGGAACTTTTATATATCCGAAAAGTTACCCCTGTCGGATGTTGACTGCTTTCCAACTTTAATCTACCAGGTTGGTACGCATAGAGGCGTCCCATTGGCTAACCCTAGCCCTCAGCTGGCTGATGTGGAGTCCCTACCTAGGGCCTAAACCCGTTCTCTTACTGGGTCGTTCCCGAGGCCCACTTTGGTCCCATGACTCTCCCTTAAGCTAGCGCCTAAGGCCAACATCTTCAGTCCCCCAAAACCCAACCTACCCCTTTTACCTTTTTCCCAGCCCACCTCACTCTCTCCCAAAACACACCCCAGGCCCACCCGTCATCCCAAACCTCAACCAAATAGACCCTAGCCTATTTATCAATCCTCACCCAAATAGCAACCCCTCTTCGATGATCTGCCAGACTTCCGGCAACGACAAACCTCCGGCGACCAGCGGAACCTCTCCTCCAGGAATTGGCCAGTATTCCGACAATGGCTCTGGGAGCTACAACCCTGCCGGCTTTCCTCTCTGACGACCGGTTCTCTTGTCCCCGAACCCATTTTTCCGGTGGGCTATATTTTATTTTTTAATTTCCGGCACCTCAACCAAACTCCTCAGAGCACCCCAGCCCGTGCAGCCCCTGATGGGCCCATCTCCAACACCCGCGGCCCCCCGGGCTAGTACGACCTCAGTTTCGACAACACCGAATTTGCCCACCGCCAGCCCCCAATCTTTTCGAGACGCGATCGTTGGCAACCCCGCCGGCAAGTCGGGCCACCAGAGAGCATCTCTTGAGACATTCTGTTATAATCAACGGGGGACTATCTTGCGCTTCGAGGAGGTTCAATTTACGGTTAGTTTTCCTGAGCCTGATGTTTCTTCCTTTGTCGAGTCATTTGCTAATGCTCTTATTTTTAAGTTTTCCTTCTTTGTCCCCTCCCTCCGAGGCTTATCTGTTGGACTAAGAAAGCTAGATTTTAAGGGTGGACTTATATCTTCGTATTTACATTATAACCATTATCTAATGTTTTTTTTTAGTTGAGAGATGACTATAACACAACGTGGATTAAGACGTATGTGAACGTTTGTGGGTGCTCTACCCAAATGTTCAAGTACAACCCCGATTTCTCCCCACCGACTGAGTCTCCCATTGTCCTAGTTTGTTGTTACCTTCTAGGCCTTCCCCCCGCATCTATTTGACCCCACTGCTCTCGCCTCGATTGCCAACTGTATTGGCAATCCGATTGATGTCGATGTCGCTACGGCCAACAGGTCGAAGTTCTCACTCGCACAGGTGTGCGTCGAGATAGACCTTCGTGGTGAGCTTATCGAGGAGATTGAGCTTCACCAGACAGGGAAGATCACCGTTCAGAAGGTGATCTGAGAGAGTTCCATATTTTTATACTCTTTGTGACCATGTGGGTCACGCTGCAGCTGATTGCTACACAAAAAGATGTTGGGATCTATGAGGATCTCGTTATGTATAAGTTACGAACTTAATAGAAAACGTAAACATATGCGCATTGGATATAAAAGTTTGACGTAGGAAACTTACGGCTTAAAATTTTATGAATCTGACGGATTCGAGATGACCAAGATCAGCACGCGAATAGAAGTTGGATCACACGAACAAACGTCGGGGTGGTTGGGTTGCGCGATCAGCTCGTATGGGGTTACGGTCGGGTCGCGGCGTTTGCTGAAGGACTTTGAGGTGGTAGAGTTGGTCGAATCATAGTTATAGGTTAAACTTGAAAGGTCTATTCAACCAAAGCACTGGAAAGGCTTTGGGTCGAGAAAGAAGTGGGAGAAGTCATATCCTTGCCGCTGTGGTGGTCGTACTCACTCGAGGTCGCAGAATCTGAAGATAAGTAAAAGAAGAGAAAAATAAAGAAAATATAAAAAGAGAGGGAGATAAGTTCTAGGGGATTGTTGCAGATGAAGAAGGAGAAAGAGTTAGGGACTACACAACGGATGGTGGAATTTGGAGCTGCAAAGACCGAAAATGGGAATTGGATAAAATTGACAAAGTTTGCAAAATTTTGCAAAAAATATACAAGTTAAAGGATTAAGAAAACTTACTCATTGTAAACGGTGGAGAGATTTGCGGAGAAAATGGAGAACTTGGGGTTGCAAAAAGCTTGAAATTGCAAGGAGGAGATATAGCGCAGAAAGCAGTAAGGGTGAAAAGATTCCTAAGGATATGGGCCAAAGTATTTATAGAATACAGAAATAAGTATGAGGAATTGCCCACCGTTAGATCAAGATGGGATGAGGGTCATGATTAAGAGATAGGTGAACAGATGCAGTAATATTAGCCGTAAGATTAAAGTTGTTGATCCGAGGGCTATTGTAAGAGGAGTACTAAAGGGGGCGCGAGATTTGGAGCAGTGCGGATCATGGAGCAATGATGAAACCTGACAGGTGAAGAGACTCGTATGAGGTGGCGACATTTGAATTTTGAAATTCAAAATAGAAGTTAGGGTAACAATAGGCTAAGAAGGAAAAAATGATACACCAGTTGGTCGAAGATGGTAGTGGAGACAACGACGACCAAAAGCGCAGACGAAGATCTACTCTTAGATCGAGTCATTTAGACTCGACCAGAGTGAGGGACTAGATGATATGGGATGTTATCTCTTAGATCGGTCCAAGTGATGGTAGAGGAATAACTCAGATGAACTGGCCTGGTCGAACAGAGTATACACTGATCGATAGATGGCAGAGATCGGGGCTACATGAATTTAAGAACACCCAACAGATTCCAGCTTTACAGTAGACCTGGTCAAAGTACTAGGTGGTCGAAAATGAATGGTCGTGAGATAGACCATCCCTAACGCCAGAGGCGGCTTAATAACTTGTCCAAATCTGGTCAATCATAGGAGCCTCCAAGGGAATCTCTGACACGTGCGCGGAGGACACCTGGCGCATGCGGATTGGTCTATATCAATAACGGTTTCTGACACATTTCTGACGCTGAGGTAGTGGAGTGTACGATCGGGCAGGTTGGGCAGCCAGATCAGCCCAACCCGGGAAGCTTCTGTTAGTGTTATATACTGAAAGCTTGCATTTGGATGATATTACAAGTTTATCCTTTATGAATGAGAAACATGTTAGATAAACAAGTTCTACGTTCTGTTGTTTTGCATTAGATAGTGTGGGTCGTCATCAGGCGAACCGAAGATCATGCTATCAGTTACTCGCGAAACAAGAATAAATGGTTCACAACCTAGAGGGACATGAACACCCCATCGTGCACGGTTATTGTGCCAATCGTACAGTTTGCCTTGACTAATTAGTTGCATTAGTACATTTATGTATTGAACAGGATCTTAGAGAGGAGCAGTTCATTTTACACTGATCGTCGTAAACGAACTAGGCCTCGGTTAATTACTGCGTACTCTTAACCCGTAAGATATTAAACAGGCATATATGTGTAGTACTTATTACTTTGATTCACATGGGTGAGGCTTAGTAAACTGGGCCAATAGACCCGCTGTCTTGGGTAATATTGCTGCATGTAGGATGTGTTGTTAGGATATTTACGGTCAACATGTGAGTTAGTTTGATGATGTCCCCAGAGTGAGTTCATGAAGGCCTGCAGGTAGATTAAATTCTGACATAGTAATAATGTGATGAGCGAGCGCTAGCTTCAGTGAAATAATATTAAATTAATTAATTCTTGATTGTTAGTAATCGAATTAATTAATAGACATTATATCTTAAACATGTGGAGATAAATGGAGTAATTATTATTGGAGTCTCAATTGTAAATTGGGCTAAGAAAGGGAGTGCAATAATATTATGTTGGTGGCCCATTTAATATTATTTAATTAATTAAAATAAGTAGCTTGGTCCACAAGTATTTTAATTTATTGAGGATCCAACTAATCCTAATCTTCTAAGGGTCCCTACTGTAGCTCTATATATACATCATTAAGCTCATGAGAAGAGAATAAAATTCCTAATACACGCCTAAACCTCCGCCCCATATTCTCTCTCTCAGTTCCCATTCGAGCTTTATCTTCTTCTTGTTGTTCCACCGGTACAAGATTAAGAGGTGTTTGAGACATACAGTAGAAGATCTGTAGGTAAACTGAGACGAAATATATTTTATCGTACAGAACTAACCGGAGGTCCGATCAAGACGTGCAACATTTCCAGACGACCGTCTCGACGAGAGCTTTCCAACACTACCGAGATCGCCGCCATCCGACGCCGCAGGCGCCCTCATGCGCCGCCGCAAGCTCCCAGGACTGCAACTTGTCTTCTTCTGTTTTTGTACCCGTTTGATCTGGTTTTCGATCCGATCTTGTTTGTGCAACCCTAGGACACGATTTGCAGTCTGCTTTTCATTGGTTTGTTGTGTACGACCGTCCAAAAGATCAGCCAGATCGCTATAAATTTTAAGCCGTAAGTTCTCTACGCAAACCTTTAGATCCGCTGCGCATAAGTTTACGTTTTGCTATTGAATTCGTGATTTGTACATAACGAGATCCTCATAGATCCCAACAAGTGGTATCAGAGAACTTGGTTTAATTCAATGTGTCCAAGTTCGAATTTTTACGGCTTTATTTGTCAAGATGTGTTCAAACGCAGCCATATATTGGATTATATTCACATAGCTCGGTTTTACAGGAATTAGTTTAATCCACTATTATGGTCGACTATGTGTTTGATGAATGTGATGTATGGTTTTAAATTTGTTTTTAAAGCCTCAGACATGTCAACAAATTTGATGGATGAATGTTTGTAATAATTATTCGCCCGGTGACCGGATAGATTTAATTATTTTGTTTAGAAAACATGTACATCCATTCGTTGGATCTAGGATCGGATTATGTAATTTTGTAAATTATATTTTTTGTATTGTAATTTGGATTAGTTTTTGGGAGATTACAAGAGATCAACAAGCCTCGAAAAAGCAACATGACTGGAGCCCGGAGATGCGCACGAAGGCGCGCGAGAAAAAAAAATTAATATATATATATATATTATTTTTTCCGACCACCGACGGCGACGG